AACATATGCATTACTATCTACCTAATAATACCTATGTAATGCAAAAGAAAGCGAGGGGAACAGATGATTATTGGGGGGGATACACGTTGTCGGCATTGCGCACGACGAGCTCGACGCGTTGCCATCAACAACGGTGAGTAAGGGTTCTTCGTGATGGCATCGAACCCTTTATGGGCAGGAGCGCAATGCCGCCAAGTGCCAAACACCGGTGACTGGTATTCATGGTTGCCGGTGAGCACAGGTAAGAATTTATTATAAAGTCCCTACGCACTACTGGTAGTTATTGCCCAGAGCATTACAAAAGCCATCTTTGATCGAACTAGACAGGAACAAGCATATCTTGTTCCTGTCTAATAGGACCAAATAGGTGGGGTTCACAGGTGCACGACGTTAGCTACTTCAAACCAACCTAATCATTGGATTGGATTCAAGTTGTCATAATACGGGATCTAATTTAGAGCTTGGCTTCTTTACAAGGTTTTTTCGCGGGTCGATCTTTGGCGAAATTTATTATAATGCCTCATTTGATTTACAAGATCAGACCGAGTGTCATCCACGCCAGGCCTGCCCAGGTTCAATTCACGCCTCTCACATGGAATTCCTGCGTCGAAACCGAGAGGTATGTTGGAGAGCTCGAGCGTAGCTAACTTCCTTCACTAACGATTTCATGGATGAGTCAGATAAAAAAACACCCCTCATGCAGTCCTTGTCAAATTAGATCAAGTTTGCCCCATACCTACCAATTGAATTTATCTCGAATGTCAAATCAGAGAGAAAAGTTGAGCTGGAACGAATATCGGGACGGTGTTTTGGTGAGCTGGCCATCCGATTGTGCGCGTATCGTTTTCATCTGCGCCTATGATCCTGATTCCATATTTCGTATATTCACCAGAAAATGCAGCCACGAGTTCGGTTCGGTGTTATGGACAATTAACGGTATGAATTCCGGCTCAATCAGATCGGCAGAACTGTATCTCAAGCACCGCCAACCCATATGTTGAACAAACTCTCCCGGTTTCGCGTAAAATATTACCCGTGATTGTGTGGGGAATCTGGGGAATCTGGGGAATCTGGAGTTGAGTTCGTGGGGGGCTGGGGAGGTTTACCGAATCGGTTCTTCGGACCGACTTCGCAAGAACGTTAAAACTTAAGGGGTTAGGGGCTCCTTTTACCCATCGTCCTAACGAACAGACCACAGTGCGCCATGTCATTCATTTCGATGTTTTCTTCCACAAGAGCCTTGGCAACCCCTAGAACGCGATACTTAAGTGCGGGCGACTTGACTTTTTTTCTTCAGTGAAGTCCAGTGCTACGCCCTCGTCACCGACATCATGCTTCACCAAATTGGAATCACGACTATCCTGTTCACCGTCGCTTCTGCGAGTCCCTCGCTTCTCTCTCGGGCGTCCTCTCCCGCACCCATTAGTGTCGGCATCCCCGCCTCTCCGCCAGCCAATGTCTCCCAACTTCTCGACCCTTACCTCATCTCATTCTCGATAGAGCCTGCCTTCCTGAACGAGTTCCTCGGAAACAAGACGACACCCAACAAGCTTGGTTTGAGCTTGTTCAACACCCTTGCGTCGAAGACTGGTGGAATTGGTGTTAGGTGCGTCGGACTACTGTTGAATCTTCTCTGACATTCATCAATGTATTTCCTCGTAGGCCCGGAGGAAACACAGTGTGAGTTATAATGCACCCCGCTGAACGGCTACATTATAATTTACGATATTCCCAGCGACTCCTCCATCTACGATCCAACTCTTGTCGGTGATCAGCAGTTGGTTCTGAGTCCCTCTGCCGCTGTCTGGCAAACAAGATACGGGCCGTCTTACTTCGACTCCCTCAACTTGTTGCCTGATTCGACCAAAATTACCATGGATATCAACCTGCGCAATGCGTCGTATGAGTTGTCGAAGGCTCAGGTCGCTGCCGCACAACAAATCCTTGGGAGCAAATTGGACGCAGTAGAAAGTATGTTGTTCTCAACATCCTTCAAACATATACTCATGATACTTTTTCGTAGTTGGAAACGAACCCGACTTCTACGGTCGCCAGACCTACAGGAATGCATCTACATGGAGCCCGGAAGCGTACGCTGCACAGTTCGTCGTACGTTTTGACCTGAACTCGTCTTCAACGTTTACAATCAACAACGCTTTAACTTCAGGAATGGTCTCACAATTTGACCTCCGACTTGAACCTCCCCAAAAACTTTTTCTGGCCCGGTGGCTACGGTACGCATATTTAAACTTTCACTAGTCAGTTTATTCTGACCCTATACTAATCAGCGACTCATCCTGATACCACAAACTTCACCACCGCGAACACTATCGCCCTCGGCATCAACAACGCATCTACCGTCAAAATCTACAGTGATCATGTGAATATTCTGACACTTCTCACAAATTTTCGCCACTAAAGTGCCAGTAGTGGTACCCATATGACAGCTGCTCGCCAGAGCACGTTGCCCAGGCTTCCTACGACCACCTCGTCAATCATACGCAGATTACTGGTGAGTTTTGTGTCGTCTTTTCTCTGCCTTCAGTTTCTCACCTCTTTACTCCCTAGATTTCATTAATAGCTACAAGGGCGAGATTGCCGCATCGAAGGCCGTTGGCATGGATTTCCTAGTTGGTGTGTAGATCTCACACCGTTTACCCGCCATTAGAGTCTCATGTGACAACTTTGCAGGCGAGTCTAGCTCTATCGCTTGTTCTGGACTCCAGAATGTTTCCAACACTTACGGTCAAGCGCTTTGGTATGTCTTATGGAAATGTGGCATCGGGTTGACCTTTTATTGACATGTTATTCTCTCTTAGGATGGCTGATACCTACCTCTATGCTGCGTCCATCAACGTTACCAGAATTTATACCCATCAAGGTGCTACTTTGATCTCGCAATCTAGCAACCAAATCAACACTCCCGGATACAGTTGGTATGTCTCCAATCTCAATTCTAAATTGGCGAGAATTTCTGACGATTCGCCTTTAGGTACGACTTCTTCTACCCGTCCACCACTGCTCGCAACGGCCCATCTCAAGCCAACCCTTCGTTCCACGGTCTCCTGCTCGTCGCTGACGCTATGGGCAATGCGAAGACTTCCCGCCTTGTATCCTTCCCCGTAGCATCCCAACCGACTCTGGCCATATACGCCATCTGGGATTCCTCTGCTCGCACTGGCGCTCCCGCCCGCGCAGTCATCCTCAACCTCGGTGCCAAGAACGACCTAAGTGTTGATCTTTCGTCCCTCTCTCCAACCGGTGTCAAGCGCCTCCACGCTCCTACCCGTAACGCCACCGATTCCAAGACCGTCACCTACGCAGGCCAGAGCTGGGCCGATGGTACTGGATCAGGAACCCTTACCATCGAGAAGCCCCTCGCCGATGGAAGTGTTGCCGTTGGAGCCTATGAGGCTGTTCTCGTTTACCTCGCGGGTGTCAACGGGACTGTTGCCGGAACTCCTGTTGGAACTGCTTCAGGCTCATCGCCAACCAAAGCTAGCAGTGCTGGAAGGACCGCTACATTCGCTGCTGGAGGTGCTTGGGTTGCGTTCGTTGGCGCTGCATTGTCTCTTTTGTAAAAAATTGATCTTTCCCTTGGGTTTTAACAACATTGAATCTGTACATCACGCATTCTCGTTTACGCTCGCATTACTTTCCACGTTTTTTTACGATTAACGATTCGTTTTAAAGTTTAATAATAAATCCTTGCGAACTTCGCTTCGTTTTTTTACATTGAAGGTGTTCACGAAAAGTTATGCTCCCTCGCGCTCTCTGTCTCTGATATTTTTTCTTCACACTCCTCGGGAGTCGACAGTTAGCGATCAAGGTATCAGAGTTCTGATCAGGATGAACCGCATAGGCATGTATGAGATTTTTTGCCAACAACCATCCCTACGTATATAAACCTAAAATTCATGAGACCGTTCGCCGCTATCAAAACTTGCCTTTTGTAAGACCGACGCTCGATTCTCCATTACTAACCAATAGAGTGCTCTTTAAACTGTTCCCCATTAATATGCTTTTTTCCCATCAGCGATGAACAAATGCGCATGTATACGATCCCACAGCAGCTGGAGAGCTCTCGCCAAGGTTGAAGGCAAATATTTCAGACGACATTGCGGATAAGCACCTGTGAACCCCACCTATTTGGTCCTATTAGACAGGAACAAGATATGCTTGTTCCTGTCTAGTTCGATCAAAGATGGCTTTTGTAACGCTCTGGGCAATAACTACCAGTAGTGCGTAGGGACTTTATAATAAATTCTTACCTGTGCTCACCGGCAACCATGAATACCAGTCACCGGTGTTTGGCACTTGGCGGCATTGCGCTCCTGCCCATAAAGGGTTCGATGCCATCACGAAGAACCCTTACTCACCGTTGTTGATGGCAACGCGTCGAGCTCGTCGTGCGCAATGCCGACAACGTGTATCCCCCCCAATAATCATCTGTTCCCCTCGCTTTCTTTTGCATTACATAGGTATTATTAGGTAGATAGTAATGCATATGTTTTACTTAGTCCTCCTGGCTACGGGGGCCGTCACCACTCATATCAAGTACACTAAAGCAGGCACCAAGAACCTCAATCTCCTCATCCTCACCAGCCTGCTCCTCATCCAGCTCCTCTTCTAAATCCACTTCATGACTGGGGGTGGTACCTGTAGGGGGAAGGGCCGGGGTCTGAGGCTCCCCTGTTGCATCTGGCTCCTCTGATGTGGTAGAAGCCTCTGCAACATGAGTGCCAAATCCAATGGGACCAGTATAACCATCCAGGAGATAGATCTTCTCCAAGATCTTCAGGTGGTGAGCATTGAAACGGCCCCGTTCCATCCGATGAAGTTTGAGCTGAAGAGCGAGGGCAGGACGAGAGAGCAAGA